GAGCCCCGGCCGGGACATTGTGCTGTGTTCTTAGGCAAGACAGTTTACTCTCACAGTGCCTCTCTTCACCCAGGTGTATAAATGGGTACCGGCAAATTTAATGCGGGGGGTAACCCTGCAATGGACTGGCATCCCATCCAGGGGGGAGTAGAAATACTCCTAGTTGCTTCATGCTACAGAAACCGAAGTTAAGCACCGGCCTAATGGGCCACTAGGCTTGTAAACAGAYTTTACCTTTACCTTAATTTTAATTTCAGCCTAGTACTTAGCATGTTTGTACTTTTTAGCACATGTCCAGTGGATTGGGATAAGCTTACTACCATGGAAAATGCAGTGACAACAGCATCAGAAGTCCTCTTGGGGTCATGTGTCAATCTTTTTAAGAAAGGCCTTATAACTACAGGGCTTGAGCTGGTAGCTGGTTTAGGCCCCTGTCAAGAGTGTTCCAGGTACAATTTGAATGCTTCTGCATGTTCTTTAGTATTATTTCTGTAAAGTAACCAGGTGTAAATTACTCTGACTTATGATTCTCTTGTCATATTACCACGGGAGGCAGCGTGGCCGAGTGGTCAGCGTGTCGGACTCGCAATCCGTCACTCCCGGGTTTGAGTCCCGCCCTGGCCACTACCGGGATTTGTTTCACGGTAGCTCCGAGTTCAAATCCTCGGCCATGCTTGTAAATAGCCAACTGGTTTGCCTCTGGCCAGGTGGGATTCTTAACAATGTAATGTTCAATTTGAATTCAGTTTGTTTATCGGCCCACAATGTAAACTACTGGGTTACCAGTAATTGTGTTAGCTATTAAAGTTTATTTTTATTTATTTTTTTTTTAATGGGGTTTTGTCCTAGAGCTTTTCCACTTCACTGGTTGGAAGTACTGTTGGGTTTGGTAGAGTTACCTCTTGATCTTGTCCTTAATCAGAAATCTTGGAACATTGATGAATTACAGAATGGCTGTGGTGCCAGTGGAAATGATCACATAGACACTGTTCTTGTTGATGGCCTGCTGTCCTTGGATTATCAGAAAAGATCCTTCTCAAAGGTTTGAAAATAGGCACAGTGGTGGATAGCCATGACTATGCTTTAAATAAATTGCTGTGACATACAGCTGTGACACACAGCTGTGCTTTCCACTAACAAGCTGGATTTCTCTCAGCTTTAACCTTTAGCACCCTAGCATCAGTATGCATATTCTCCATACTGTGTGCCATAAATTTCCTAAGGTGCTGACAAGGAGAATTTGTTTAACAATAAAGAGCTTCTTAAGTAGATTATCATTTCCTTCATTCTCCTGACTTTAATGTGTGATTCAGGGGTGATGTTGTAAGGAGAAATTAGATGCTGGTCACTCTTGGGGGGGGGAGGGGTAAAGGTTAACTTCATGTCATGTTATGTTACCATAAATCATCAAATGACAATCTTATGTCTACTTTTTTTTCGTTAAAACAGCAACAATTACAGTATGCAATGCTTCCTTGGATTAAAGGGAGTTCATCCAATGCCAAACTTGTTTGTCAGGGACTAGCTGCATCCCAACAGCTGATGCAACAGGTAACTATTTTACAGGGGTTGTAAAGGAGTCCCTTTTTTTGTACTGTACACATAAATGTCAATTGTACTACCTATGCTGCTTATACAAAGATATTTTTTCATCATGCAAAACGCGTTGTATATAAACTTCGTAATGGGCTTTGCTCATCATATAGTCTCGGTGGCCACAGGGACCCCATACAATCTGTTTGTGTAGCCGACTGTTGTTTTATAGTGAATGTACCAGATTTACCGTTTGCCTCACCTATAGTGATATATTGCTGACTATGTACATAAATCATTGATAAATAAACATTGAATTACTTTACCTGTGGTGTATAGTCATCCTTTTGCCTCAAATATGTCTTTTTGGAGCGATTTTGAATAAGTCTGAGTTCGTCGTTAATGTAATGCATATCACTATAGGTGAGGCAAACGGTAAATCTGGTACATTCACTATAAAACAACAGTTGGCTACACAAACAGACTGTATGAGCCCCCTGTGCTGTGGCTCAGCGGTAGAGCATCGGAGCATGGAATCAGAAGGTCTGAGGCTCAATTCCTCATGGAGACTCAGAATTTTTTTCCCTTTGTCCCACGCTCGTGACAAGACCAAAACATTTTTCCATATTTCTTTACCCAGCTCAAAACTTACCATCCTTCTTATTCTTCACAAACAAAGGCATGTTTTTATTTTCAATTAGAATTTGAACCTTAAAAAAAGTAATGTTTTGAATGTCATACCATGGATGGCAATTGTTGGTTTCAGAATAATAAATGTCTTATTTTTGTGGGTCAGAGAAGCTGTAACGTAATTTTTCCTTATTTTTGTCATGGGCTGGTAAAACTCTGATTAATAGTCTGTAAGAGATTACATGCGTGTCAGTAAGTTTGTCTATAGCTGTTAAATACTCTCCCACATCAAGAATTCAATTTTTTCAAATTTTCACGACGGTTCTCCTTAATTTATGGTGAAAATTACTGAAGCATGAGATGAGATTTCGTCAACTGCCTTTCAACAATTTAACGTGCAGTATTCTTTTTGATTTCTTTTCCATTACGAAAGGCCTCCTCAAGACATATTTCTGAGGTGTCGCACTGGCTAAAGCTCAGTATAAACCTCCTTCACGACTGCATCAGTCCGAGCGAAGATTCAGCTGTGAAGTTTCATGGCAATCAGAGAGTACTCAAAGCCTTGGTGGTGTTCATCGCAAGCTTTGCTGAAGTGCAAAAATCAAAAGGTAACCAACACATATTTAAAAGGCGTAAGTGTAATATGATTAAGGTTTAAGGCGCACTCGGATTTGGAGACTGGAAAAACAATCGAGAGCTTGCGAATCACTTGCTTTCGGCTTGTTATTTTACGAAGCGTCATCGAATGTAGCAAAGGCGGGGTCCTGATCCCGCTTCACACACGAAGTTTTAGAAAAATTCAGGCATTACGTGTACCATATTAATTTTGGACCTAATCACGCGTCATGTATAAGCCCTTCGTTATCTTCTTTATCGGGTTCTACAAACGTCTCGCTTGGGTTTTTACGCTGATGAAAAGTGCAGTCTGCAGTCTAAACTATTGATGTTTTCTGAGGTTTTTTTCGTGTTTGACCGAAGATTTACCACCGTCTGTTAATTCTGTCGTTTATCAGGCATTCGTGAAGGCACAGAATTCTTCATTGCTGACCAGCTGTTTGACGATGTTGTTGGGGCGTTGCTACAACTTATTGAAAGTTCCAAAACAAGTGAAGCTGTAAGTAGACGATTTGGTTATATCACTTGAGTTGATAACATAGATTATTGGCCGTAAAGAATTTTTAAATCTGACCGGCGTTTTGAGCGTTAGCCCTTCGTCTGAGCTGAGCTGTAAGTACTTTGCCCGGTTTCTGCTGATCGCTTGATACGTTTTCTGCAGAGAGTTTCAAACAAAGGAACAAACGTTCCTTTGGGTCAACCTTTCGATCGCCTATAGCTTGTATTAGACACAAGTACATATGCGATATTGACCAAGCTTGTTCGGTCAAGATGGCTGGGTATTAGACGTGTTCTTTTTTTTTTTGCGTTTTTATGGACCGAGACGAAGTCGAGGTCCATAAAATGTAACGGGAAAAAAAACCAAAACAAAACAAAAAAAAAAAACCAGCCATCTTTACGGAACAAGCTTGGTCAATGAAGTATTTGCTATATTGCAAAAAGGCCTCGCTTTATTAAGAATCAAGAATGACGTGTTTACTTTCTGCCGCTTTTTGCGTCTCCATCTCGCCGACATTGTCCAAGAATTACGAACTTAGTGCGAAATCAATTTTTTTTCTTGCATGGGATTAAAGCGGGGTAATCCCAAGCGGGCAAGATGGGCCCATTTTGCCCGCTCGGGACTGTCCGCTCGGGACTGTCCGCTCTGATCCCGCTCAATAGAAAAAGTGCGTGGAGCGGACTTATAAAGTTCGTAACTTTTGGACAATGTCGGCGACGAAGTCACAAGAACCGGCAGAAGACAGTCAAAACAAAGAAAAATTAAACGAGCCTCTTCGGTACGCTGTGCTACAGACAAGGTTGGTTTTCTTTCCCAGCTCTCGAAATAAAAAAGTAATTCTTGATTCTTATTAAAGCGAAATATTTTTGCAGTAGACTAAATCCTTTATTGAACAAGCTTGTTCGTTCAAGATGGCTGGATGTTAGCCTCGTTCCCTATTTTGCGATTTTGTGGACCTCGACTTCGTTTCGGTCCATAAAAACGCAAAAAAAACAAAAAAAAAACAAAACAAAAAAAAATCTCGGCCAATATCCAGCCATCTTTATCTCACGCTTGGTCAATAACGTAAATGTGTGATGTTTTTCCGTAAACCTCAAGTCATTATTTGTTTGTTGGCCTTTAAGGTAATATCTTCTTCCTTGAAAACACTTGGAAAGGTGTTTGACGCCGCCAAGCCAACGTACATAACAAACCTGTTCACCAGCGGCGTGCAAACAGATAACGAAGAACCTGATGAGAAACGAGCAAAGCTCGGCCATAATCTGCAAAATGCTAACACTAAAACTTCAAACCGTGAAAAGCTGGCTTTTATGCTTTATCGAAGATTGCGGGACTCGAGATGGGAAGTAAGAGATTCTGCGTTAGAGTTTGTTGCTGGACTACTGCAGTTAAACCAAGGTAAGTCTCGCATGCAGTGGAGCGAGGCAAGGCACCGCGGAACAGGGAAGTGGAAAAAACAAGCACAACGTGTGATGGAAAACACTGTAAATACAACTCTCTTTGGGGTTCTGTGGGTCTTTATTGCCTAGACCACCTCTAAAGCACCCTCCCGGGAAAGGTGGGGTGGGTAAAGAAAATTTTACAATGATACTGCTGCACGTGCTAGCTGGCTAGAATCGTAATAATCAAGTGACACTCAATTTGCCGACATATGTACATGGGCCTGACTGGCATTTCCGTAATATATATTTAATCTCGATAAACAGGTTTATCACTCACGTAAATGCATTAGCCTTCATATTTCAAATAGGACCTAAATTCCAAAACTTTTGTGCACTCAACGGCGCTTACTTGTGTGAAAAAATGAGAGACGACTGGGGACGAGCAGCTTGTAAGGGTGAACTTGAGGGTGGTAAATATTTCATATGAACACAACCCTTCTCCCTTCCTGCGATAAGTTTGCGGACTCAAGAGATTAGCCGTGAAAAAGTTGTCAGCTGAGCAATGTTGGGAACAAAAAAAAAAATTGCACTTATTCTAGAACCGAAATTTTTAGTCTTCTTTTTCCTCTCAGATTCAATTGAGGGGTTCCTCTGTTTTCGCAATATCCCAGCGATTGTGTGGAACACTGTTAACGACAGTGACAGCTACGCCCGTGCCTCTGCTATCCTCGTCATTGGTTCCTTGGCCTGTCGATCAAAGTTGTGGACATCGCTTCTTCAAAATAATCAACTATCAGAGGTATTTTCTTGCTTCAAAACCTGGTGCTACTTATTGGGGGAAAATTCAACAGCAGGAGCAACAATTTCCTTCTTTTTCAGTTTTTTTTTTTTTTAGTAAAATGAATTTTGAGGGTATAGTCAAATAGTCAAGTGTCAGTGGTAAATTTCTGTCGATGGCATACGCCGCCGTTTTTGGTAAATTGAAGCCAGACGATTAAAAAAACCAACACTCTCCTGATCTCTTATGGTCTGTTAGGTATCAATTTTGAAGCATAGGGACTTACTATTATTTATCTTGTGGGAGGGGGTTAAGTGGTAGGACGATTTTAATTGTGTTACAATAGAATTACCTGATTTTCCCCTCCC